GCAAATAGACTGACTGTTAGAAATTCCTAGTCAGTTTATGAGTATTTTAATCAAATATCTGATTAATTAATGATTCTATTTTTGTTTACAATATTTACTTTTTTGATTTGATTTTTTTCTGCATATTTTATGTTAACTCTTTTGACGAATCAAGGATTTATATTTTTATTGCTGTTGAGTTGAATAGAAAGTTTCTTTCATATGAAAATATGTACTAATGTTATATTTAACATTTAAGATATAATACAAATATTAATTTCATATTGTTCTACTTGGTTCTTTTTGTGATATATTGTATTTACTAGTACCGAAGAAAAAATAATATTGAAAATTTAACCAGCATTTTCAATACTAAATATTATTACATTGCTTAGTTGCTTACATATAATTACAAAAACAAAATTAAATAACTAAATTAAAATTAAAAAAATGTTCTGGTTATTTTTCTTAAAATTTATTATTTTTTCTTAAAATGTGAATGTATTTTGGAAATCGGTACTTCTTCGACGTCGTGATTATATTAATATCTACATTTGATATAATTTGCGAATTAATTTGTCTAAATAAGGCGAATATTATGTCCTAAAGGTAGTTGTATTTTATTGTAGGATTTGGTGTGTATTTATATTTTCCGATAGTACTGACCAAACCAAGCATTTAGACATATCAGCCCCAACTTATTGGCTAAGATTTTCATCTTTGTCTAGAAATCCTAACAATAATCAAATTATAATAAGAAAAGCTAATCGGTTGGCAAAGACATTAGAGACACACTTGAATTTATAGGTTAAATTATGAATACCGTATCCAAGTACACAATAATGTGATAAGTATTAACAGAAGAGACTAATTCTAATTACTAATTCTGGAAACTTAGTAAATATATTTTTTTTAGCTGAAGTACCCCATCTACGACGGGTAATAAGTCACAAATTGCATCACAACTGCTGAGTCTATTAAACGAATCTTTATCGGTAATAGTGATGTTGCCTTTATACTCAAATTATCCGAAACTGCTGGATATGGATAATTCTGCAAATCATATAATCTTTGTAAAAATAATTTTCTGTATGCAATTCATTGCTAAAGTTTGTTTTTTTTCTATTGCGAAGTGAAAGATAATGCTGAATAAATAGGATATTTATTATTTCTAGAGAAATAATATTTCGGCAACTAGAAACTTTACAAATTTAATTATTAGCAAAATTAAAGCATCATGTTATAACTTTATTATAATAAATATATAATGTTATACTTTAATCCTAATAATTCAATCAGCAGGTTTTCAAAAATTTATTAATGAAATATAATTAATTTCGCGCCACATAATTGAAATAAATGGAATATATAACAACGAAATAATTATTTTACAATTTTCCTTGTCAATTGAAAAGGTGTCATTAACCACGTGATGGACAATGTTTATGTCTACGGTATCTCCGTAAAGCAAAGAAAATAGTAAAAGACAAAAATATAAATTTCATTTGTTTTTGGTAAGTTTACAGTGTAGGATTTCTATAAAAAAAAGTAGAAAATGAATTCTAAGAGGAAAATTGTTCAGTGAATCTAATTTTTAAATTCTATCCAATTATACAGAGAGAGAATTTGTCAGAATTTGCTTTCCTTTATCTCAATTTAAGGTTACTTCATTATAGTTCATGAGCATCAAATTAATACCAATCCTTCATATTTTCTATCATTCCCGCTACTAGCATTCAATTGTCATCCACGGATTTATTTTGACACGGATATATTTTATATTGTAGCAGTTTTTGTTTTCATTGAACTGAGTTTTCAAATAAGAACTAAATGAACATAAATATAGTTCGACGAATATTGAGAGACTCTCTTTGTTTTTATAATTTAATCCCAATCCTGACGTGTCGAAAGCTTACGGTTAACTCAAGAAATCATATGTAGACAATAAGCATTTTAATGCTTGCAATTTTTGCTATTCCAATTGAATGAACACAAACAAATTTAGATTTTAGATGAATCTTCCCAAAGGGGCAATCATGTGAAGTTTCGGTCACCAAAAATATTGTGCATTGAATATAAGTTATATTTAGGATGACTTTATCTTCGATTTTTACACTTTTCCCAAATGAAAACGTCATTTAAACTTTAAGTTTGTAACTGAAATGAAACAATAAAAACAAACTGAGAATCTTCTGTAACAATAAAAATCTTAGTTTCTCATACATTGGTAGGAATTTAATCTTCGATAACACACACACGAACAGAGAGAGAGAGAGAGAGACAGAGAGAGACAGAGACAGAGGCAGACAGACATGACCACTTTTAATTTCGTTGAACCATGTAATCAGCCGGATATTAGTCACTGTTCTGAAAAGAAAAATCAACAAAAGACAAAGCAACAAAAATATAATTCTTTAATTTACAGCAATTGTGAACTTGAAGGATTTTTTAAAACTTTTTGCAAGTATTTTCATTATTTTATTTTTTAATTTTTTTACTTCAAACATTGAAATATTTTTATATTATTTAATTTTGTTTAAAATGAATTCGTTATGATTTGAATTGAAGATGGAAACCTGCAAATGAATAACAAACGAGAAAACGTGTTGTGTTTTTACAATTAAATTATTTTTTCGATAAATCCGACACAACTAATACATTTTGTCAGAAAAAAGGATAACTTACAATTATTTAAGAAATTTTAGGTTTATAAATATACACAAAATATCGAAATAATTCCAATTTGAAGACATTAGCTCTTGATAAAATAAAGAATATATACATGAAAATAAAGAATATATACATGAAAAAGGTGACATTATTTTTATAATTGCCTCATCTTTATTATTTCTATTTCATTTTTTAAAATTCTAAACGAGACTCAATGTTAGAAATTGAATCGCTTCCTTTATGAGTGTTAATTCAATTTCTTTAGTCCTACTTTTTATTATCTTTGTTAATTTTCTTTCTTAAAATTGCTAAAATTTAATACAAACGCAAACAATTCTAAAAAAATATTGGTTTTAATTTAACCATGATTTACTAAATTTAACTTAGTTTTGGTAAGAGAGGAGAACATCCAGTGAGGATCGAAATACTTAGTCACACGTAAAAATGATTTGCGAAACCAGTATTCACTCATTACCAGAACGAATGCCATTGATATTCATTGAATAATTTAATACTGAGGGTTTTTTAAAAGCATGTAAACTTCACGTAAATAAAAACAATTTTATATTGATCTATTTTTAATGCTTGATAGTCTTTTTATATATTTTATTATTATTTTTTATTAAAAATATGCATTTACGCAAATAAATTACAACAATTCAGGTTAGCACAATTAATATGGCGATGTACAAAGTTTGGGTAAATTTTACCGCTCATTTGACAAGAAAATTTCGCAAGAATGTTAAATCACTTATTATCCTGAGTTGATGCAGATCTTTACAAATAATAAATAATCTTAACAGTGGATTATTATTATTATTATTATTATTATTATTATTATTAAGAGTTCGAAAATATAAATAACAGCGCTGAAGTTTTTTGTGACAAAGTCATACAATAAAATACATTACAAATTTTTCCTTGAGTTTAAATTTAAAATCATAAGCGTCGCAATTTAAAATCAACTGTCATAAATTTGTAAACTAAACATCACATATGTTTAGTATTCATAATATTCTTGGACAAATATTCCGAAAATCCCAATATTCAATGTAATGATTATTTTTTGTTTCGAGGTTGGAAAGTTTTTTCTTTTTGCTTAATGGAATCTTAGGTTAAAATCTGGAAGGGAATTGTCTTTTTATTAAGAAAATTGCTAATGTTTCCACACAAAATTAACGTATTCAATTTTTTTCTTTTAAATTATAGATGTATTCATCAATTTTATAGTTAGACTGTATTTTGAATAAAACAATACATTTAAAGGCTTTTAGTAAGAAATAAATACAAGGAGCTAATACTGAAAAATAAATATGGCTGTAAAGAATATTCGATAATAAAAAAATATTGTATATGAAGAAATAATATTGTACATAATATGAATGTAAAGAACTGATATTGTATCATAAAGATGTAATACGGATATAAAGAAATTTATTATTTAATTATAAAAGAGTTTAACCAAAAAGCTGAAACTCTAGACTAATGCGTCAAGAAACGTTAATCAAATGTAATAATATCCTCTTTAATATCTTTACGTTATTGTTTCCATGTAACCAAAATATTTGAAAGACAGAGAAATTTCGAATTATAGCAAAATATTTTTTAAGAAAAAAGAAAGATTAAGAAGATGTCCGAAGTTTAGTCAACTGGAGATACTAAAAGAAAAGAAAATCAAGCAATTATTTAAATAATGTAATCGATGAAAAAAAACATGAGAAATTTTTATCATCAATGTCAAAGAAAATTGAAATTATTTTTGGATTTAACACTTACGATCCCATATTTCGTAATGCTATAGATTTTTTTTTACTTCCCACCGTCTCTGAATATTTTAAAACAATTATTTTTTAAAACTTAACATTAAATTTACCATATAGATTTCATCGCAAATTATCCTCTTACATTTTAGAGTCCTTCTCTCTATACCTCAATAGACAAATTAGTCAAAAGTTAACTCTACCTATTGTTAAAATTATAAGAAACTAAATTATTCAATGAAATATCAGAAGGGCGGATATTTCCATTATATCTCTATGCATATACATCTAAATTTCATGAATATGGTTTTACTTACGAACATTCATACTAGTCTATTAGGGAAAGAATTTATCCATTGCGCAGAATGAATTAAAAGTTATTTAATTAAGAAGAACGAATTAAAAGTTCAATTTTTTATAGAATTCGTTCTTTAGGCAGAATGAATTAAAAGTTCAATTTTTTTGACGACCAAAGAAATTATTGCTGTGGGGATAAGGATAGGAAAATATTTTTATTCAACTGTTAACATAAAACAGCAACACTTGATTCTGTCTATGCGCTCATAAGCGCGCGCGCACACACACACACACATAGATAGATAGATAGATAGATAGATAGATAGATAGATAGATAGATAGATAGATAGATAGATTAGATAGAATATAAATATTAAATAGAAAGGTAGAGAGAAAAAAGAGATCAAAGACGATGAAATATATTAAGGTAGAAATAAAACTATATATAAAGATAGGGAGAGAGAAATGAAATAGATAGATAGATAGATAGATAGATAGATAGATAGATAGATAGATAGAGAGATAGAGAGATAGGGATTGAGTTGACTGTGCGTGAAAATTTTAATAAAGTTTGCAATTCAAATAATAAATAATCAAAACGATGGAAAGGAAATAAAAGAAAAAGAAATAAAAGATATATATAAAATAATTCTAAATAATTACCTTTATAGTCTATGCAAGAAGAATAAATATGCTTACTTATTTCTTTCCGCTTTATTTAGCATCATGAATAAAACAGTTGCAAAAATAGTCTGAAGTCGTCAGTTACTTTTTGTTTGATATCAGGACAATTTTTAAAATATAACAAAATATATTTCTGTTTTTCTGGGAAAGACAAAATCGTAAAAAGCAGTAGAAAAAACGACCTCGGTGGAGAGTGCATGTTACTGCAGAAGTGTTTAGAGGTAGCTTTTTTGTGGTTTTGCTTAATAATTTTCCACTTCGAGACACATTTAAGCCTACACATTGAAGGCAGGAAAGTCGAAAACGAATCGACCTGATAAAACAATAATCAGTTTTATCTACCAATCTATTTATTGCAAATAAAATCTGAAAATATGATACAGCGACATATACCTGGACTACATCTCCCACTCAATATGTGAACGTTTTACATTTGTATATGTGAACCGTATTGTCATATAGGTAACTCTATGAGATCACTAAAAAAAGAGCATAACATGATGAAAAAGACGCCAAACTTGACGAAAACAAAATTTTATTGTCTAAATGTTTATGTTATTATGAGGAGGAAAGACCAAAGTTTTTTAAAATTATTTAAAATTTTCTTTCTTTCTTTTTAGAACATTCTAAATTTTGATTAAAAAAACCCCCAAAAACCTTGTTTCTCTTTGTATCACCGGAACTAGTAAAATAACATATACAGATTTTAGCACGTTTTTTTTGTATGACAGACATTAATTTGGAAAATCTTGCAAAAATAAAAATAATTGTCAGATGTTAATGAAACTTTCAGAAACTATTCATAGATGATAGAACTTATTATAAATATGTTTTTTTTTTATTAAAGTCATGGCAGAAATACATTTTTTAATATTTATTTCCCCCCATAACTAATTTTATGAAAACTCTAGAAATTCAATCGAATCCAGTTTAGTGATTACAATAGTTAAAAGCACAGGGCTTTGAGGAATGCAAATCATGTTTTTTTTTTTAATTGGACCCCCCCCTACCGGAAAATCAGCTTTGAATTGTAACATACAAAACTCAATAAAACAAAGATATTATTTAATTTCAAATGCTTTTATTTGCCTTTAGTTGTTTTTATGGATATGGACAATATTTTCTGAAAGCAAAAATTTTTTCGATGAAAAATGAATTTTTAATACAATTATTTGTTATTTCTTTAATTATAATAGATTTTTACATTTAAGTTGTTAAAATATTATAAAATTAGTTAAAAGCCGCATCCACTTTCGTAAGTGTCCTTATAGATCGTTTTTTAATGCGTTGTAAATTGTATCGTTTTGGCTAATCAGAAGATCCGCAGTAATTAAGAAATGTAATTTTGTGTTTATAATCGGGCTGTAATTATAAATTACGGAAGACCAATCAGAATACAATTAATTTGCGTTATTTGAGTTAAGCATTGTTCTCCGCTGTTAAGGCCTTTATTTTTACGAAACACGTGTGGTGAAGTTAATTTGATTTTTCAATTTCAAATGAGAAGTGTACCTATAAGTATCAGTATCATCTTATGAAATTTATATGATCTTATTTTTATATTAATCTCAGTTATGACATTTTTCCATAAATGAAATATCAAAATTATTAATAAAATGAATGGAAATACAAATAACACAGTAAAATGTAGTAAAAGTACATAAAATTATAGTATTTTATGTACACTTCTGATAAAATTTCATAAGAAAGGTACCTATAAATTAATTCTTATGAAATTTAATCTCACTCTTAACAGTCTTATTTTAATTTCTTTATAATATATTTTCCATAAAGCATCGTAAATGTAAAGGTGAAAGCTAAGTACAAAAAAAAAAAAAAAAATAGAGCGCTGAAAGTTTTTTTTTAAAAAAAACGAGGAAAATAATTTGTTTACTTAAATCTATATAACTCCACTTTTCACCTTCCGTAGAACAAATTATCCTCACGTAATCCGTCAATGTCATTCAACACCTGTCAAGTGACGCGAAATGTTATGACCTGCTTTGTTTTATCTTTTCAGCGCAGAGCTTGGTTCAAAATATTTTAAATAAACATTATAATTTCTGATTTTCTTAAAATAAGTTTTGAAAAAATGATAATTGATTTTTAAAAGAATTTCAAACTGAGATTTTCTTTTTTTTTTATATATATAAAATGGAAAAAAATGGTTGCCATGATCGATTATCTGTCAATTTTGCTGACTAAAAAAAAAAACAAGATTTTTAACGAAAATTTCGGACGTGCTAGGAACGATTAAAAATACCTATCATAAGTTCCTAAGTTAGGAAAAGTTCCTAATCGGGAATACATGATTTTATCTAAGCGAAGACAAAACACTGAATTCTTGAATCTATATTATTTAAGATTTAAATTATTTGTTGAAAAATATCGACGCTGATGAAATCGCTTATTTACAAATATTTCCCCAAAAAGCAATTTGTTAATGAGTCAATATTTTTAATGACGAAATCATTTAATAAATATTTAATACTCGTTAAATTATTTTCTCAGCATCACAGTAAGGAAAAGGTTTTCCAAATATTGAAAATAAATCTCTCAGGTGCACCACTAGTCTTAAGATACGGTTAAAATCACGAACCACTTTTTGTTACTTCAATAAAAGCAGTGTTAATATAAGTTTCCTATAAATAAAGAGAATCTCAATTCATTTAAGAAATTCATAAAAATGTGTTGCTTAAAATGTACTATTTAATAAAACCAGGCAAGAGAAAAAATGTTCTTAACAGTGAAAATTATAAAATGTACGTTTAATTTATTTCCTGGTAAATTATTTGGGTTACATTCAACAAATTCTAATGAGGCAAATCTCCAAGTTCTGCGGGAATTCAGCATGAAAGAACTATTTGATTGTAAATTGAATATATATATATATATATATATATATATATATATATATATATATATATATATATTGCTGCTTTGCACCCCACACCGTCTCTTGGTGTATACCCATGCAATTTTCATACTATTTTATCGTCTTGTGAGGTTCGGGTTACTAAGATATTTTATATTTTGTTGGTCTTTTAGAAAAGCTAAGGGTGAAAATTAAATATATATCAAATAAATGACTACATATATTGAACGACTGTGCAATAATTAATTTCTGCATAAGTACAGTCGTAAATCATTTTTTAAATTCAGTATTTTATTAATATTCGAAAGCCTTTGTAAAATCCATAAAATCCATAAAATCCACGAATTTTGAAAATACGAAAACAAAGATATTTAGCATTCTTTAAAAAATCTAACAGTCATCGATTTGCATAAGTAATGATCGATGATCGATGATTAAAGAAAACTAAAAAGTAAGTAAAAGAAAAGTAAAAAGATTGATAACACCTAAAAGGACTAATTACTTTGTAACTATTAATTAATTAATTGAGTTGAGACTGACTGACTTACCTAAGTTAGGGTACCCATTGCAGAGAAGACTTACGAACAAAAAGATAAGCCCTGAACATAATTTTTGAACGAAAATGTGTAGGCTGATGTTGAATAATCAGAGGGTTAAAAATAGAAGAAATAAAAGCAGATTGTGCTGCGTCAGATAAATAGGAAATACTTGTTTGCTATGAAAAACAGCAGATGAAATACTGGTCTTTGTTATGATTCCAACACCAATTAATATACAGCAGAGTCTCTAATCCAATAAAAGTTTTCTGAAATTTAACACATTGGATAATGCTTACGTTGGAAGAAGATAACATGTGCTTAGTTCTTATTCATCAGTAAACAGTCAAATTCAAGTAGAACCAACAATGTAAGAAAGGCATAAGAATTTATCAGAAAAATTGCGAAATTGTTGATAATTCAGAATTTATTGTATTTTGTATTTTAGACACGAATCAATAAAAATTGTGGTTATATTTTTTTTTATATATTTCGATATTAGGAAAAAAGAGTTCATTGGAATAATTTTTAAATATTTGTAAATTTATTTTTTAATATAAAATTTAAATTTTTACATGATAAAAATTAGATTTCGTAAATTACGAATCTTGAAGCAGTCGATAAATGAGTTAATCAAATTGGATTAATGTAAGATATGTATATCACTAAAGAGTAAAATGGATTCTTTTATTTACTTTTTTACTCTTAGTGTAAAAAAAAAAAAAAGACAAAACGGAAAACAACCAGGCGTCTCCGAGGTTAATTACAAGTTTTATTTTACGTATCACGACAAAATTTATGGAAATCATAATTTAATGAATATCAATTTTATTCTGAAAAATAAAAGATTGCTATTTGAGGAATGCTATTATTATAAAAACTCATTCCAAAATTGTATCATTTTATATTTGAATAAAAGTAATAACATAAAATAAAAAAAATAATTTTGGACAGATAAAAGTTAATTGTGAAAGAAAAAAAAACTTATTGATTATGAAAAGAGTATTTAAAACGGTGTAAAAGAGTTTTGAAAAAAATGCTAGAAAAACAAACAAAAACAAAAAGACGACAAAAATTAAAAAAAAAAAAATTAAAACAATTCACTATTCTCTCAGGCAACAGCGTTAAAACACCGACGATTACGCTGATGTAAGAAAATTTACTGTCACCTGATATACCAGACGCTATAACTGCAAAAATTCAACGGGTACAAAAATATATAAATAAGTAAGTAAATAAACAGACAAACAAATAAATAATAATAATCCAGATGCCGGCTAGAGAAATACTTAAGGGTGTTGGTGCTGGTGTATTAAAAAGATACGCAAAATATTCCAAACAGTGAATTCCATTTTAAAATCGAAAGATAATGAGAAGATAAATATCAGGACCCTACGAAAGAAGTGCGAAATTTATGAAAGTAAGAAGATTGTATTAATTGAACAGCGCCAAAAAGAACTCTTGTAAGAATCAGGAACCTGAAGAACAATTACACGGTTTATTCAGAGCAGGCACTGTTGAAATTATCCGGAACACTGAGAAGAAATTTAAGGGCACTTGCTGCTACTTGATCCCCAACGATGGCAACAAACTGTTAATGAAGATGCAAAAATAATAATAATAATAATAATAATAATAATAATAATAATAATAATAATGCGATTAGAGTAGTGTGAGCATCATGTTTGAGTATTGGGAGCTTTTTCTCCTTAAACTTGAAGGATTAAGCAGTCAAGGTAACATGGGAATCACAACTAAACACTTAGGAACACCCTTAATCGAAGCAGACTGAGTTATCCGACATAAAAGGATTTCTAACTGGGTTCAATTACGAGGCCGTGCACTGCTTTTCTCAAAACTTGACACATTTGGCTGTGATGCATGTACCTGGTATACCCTTATCAGAATGGGTGTCATGATGGGTATACTGGAATCGTATATTTGTACACCAGCGTCACTTTGTTATCGTGCTGATCTCCTCCTCCACAACAACAACAACAACAATAATAACAATAATAGATTGCTTCTTTTTTTCTTCATTTTTTTTTTACAAAAATATCTGCTCAGTGAAAATGTCATGATGCCATTTCTGACCTTAGATCTCTGGTTGGGACCCGGAAGAAAATGTCTATACAACAAAAATCAAAGGAAATAATAATAATAATAATAATAATAATAATAATAATAATAATGTGAAAAGAGAGGAAGAACTAGAAAACTGAAGAAAAAAAAAGAATAGTTGGAACCATTTAGAGAATACTAAACTGTTGTAGATATTTGCTGTAATTTGATCTCTACCGAGAGCACCTACAGCTACAATCGAATTACTGTGGTTTAAAAGCGTCCTGAATTCAACTGCTGTTCAAGCAGAGAAAAAACGTTTGAAAAAACTTTGTCTAGCAAGAAGCAAATTATTGCTTCTTGGTAGACAACGTAGAATAATCCAATCTAATCTATGTTGGAGGAACATAATATCAATTTTTTTTGTAATAATAAATAAGACTACGAATCGTAGTAGGTATCAAAGAAAAGAAAATTTTATTTACAATTTGGAATAGCTGTAACTTTGTTTTGGTTGGTGTTATTTTAGATATTGATAAATACATATGTATTTAAATGTTCTGATAAATAGGCACATATACGTAAAGAGACATATGCGAAAGGGTGCTGAAAAATTCTCGGTCCCACCAAGAAGCACTTTACTCTGCAGATTTGATGTTTGGTCATTTGATCAGATTTTAAGAAGTGGGTCGAGGGATAACTTTACAGTTCATTTATAAACGCAGATATGCGCAGACATATATATGTATTGTATACATATAGCACGCACAGACACACACACGTATGCAAACACACACGTATGCAAACACACAAACACACACACACACACACACACACACACACACACACACACACACACACACACACACACACATATATATATATATATATATATATATATATATATGCAGGTACCTCTTGCACATTCGCGTCTTCTGGAAAGCCATCTTTTAGTCAAGCGTTTTTTACTGTTTGACAGCGGATATTCTTAAAACAAAGCGATGCTCAATAATGCTTGTCAATAAATTTATCTTTTAATTTCTTTTTAATTTATTGGGACGTTTCCGCGTTCATATCTGGTAAGTTATATTTTGGTACTAAAACTATGGGTCAGTAAAACATTAAAAGATAAAATGTCGATAACTAATTCATCATTTCGCTGGACCAAACTTAATTGTTTTATGACCCTTCGGGCAGAACTCTTCATTGCCAATTCAAGAAAGAAATTCGGATTACCAACACACAAACAGAGAATGTCTCATATCGAGAATATTTAACATTGAACATAAGGGAAAAAATAATTATTTTTAATAATATGTGGAAATCTCCGCTTTTCCCTGAAGACGGTCGCGAGACCAGAAACACGTGTCGTAAAATTATGTAAAACAAAGCATAATATTTTTTTCTAAATAAATCCACATTACAACCAAAAACGTTTGCGGCACCTCTCTTCTCTTCTTTTTTAATATACATACTTTTCTCTCGTTGGAACCACTATAACCTCTTTTTATATATATATATATATATATATATATATATATATATATATATATATATATATATATATATATATATATATATATATGTTCACTCCTGTAGTTCACTGCTACTAACGAGAAGGATTTTTTCCTCCTGGTGATGGCCATACTGGCCGAAACTAGTCGAGGAACCTATTTTATTGTTCAAAAACACACACACACACACACACACACACACACACACACACACACACACACATATATATATATATATATATATATATATATATATATATATATATATATATATATGCGGCTTCAAATTAACAGAATATAATTTAGCAGATAACAATTTCCCGAGAACATCAATGACGCTGAGAAAAAGGAATACTTTTTTTCCGCTGACAACTTACTCAGTCTAAAGTGTTATTTCACTACCTGTATTTATTGCAGCATGAAACAAATCGGAAAATATTGCTTTCGGGACGAGTTATATTATATCATATATATATATATATATATATATATATATATATATATATATATATATAAATATATATATATATAATATATATATATATATATATATATATATATATATATATATAAATATATATATATATATATATATATATATATATATATATATATATATATATAAATATATATATATATATATATATATATATATATATATATATATATATATATATATATATATATATATATATATATATACATATGAGCAGCAACCCATCTTTTATACTTATTTCATTAAAGGTGAATGACAAAGGTAATGCGATTAAGCTCTTTATTTCATTTTTTTACATTCGTACAAGTGGTTTGTTTTTCTCGACATTAAGTGTGTAAAAATTGTCAAAATGTTCTATAAATCCGAAATATGTACCCAAGTCGAAAGAACTTTTGGACAGTTTTTGTACACTTTGTCTTTAAGTCTAGAAAAGGAACCACTTGTCTGAATGCAAGAAAAACTGAATAAAGCTTAACCACAGTACCTTGTCAGTCATCTTTAATCAAATGTGTGTGTATATGGCATGCTGAAGGCAATATCAATCAGCTAAGTGACAAACGTTTTACTCTCTCTCTCTCTCTCTCTCTCTCTATATATATATATATATATATATATATATATATATATATATATCAATGATAATAATATGAACTACCATTTTATTCAATCAGTTTCACGAGGTGAAAATGTGGTCAAATACATTATTAAATTATGGAACAAGGGAAATATTAAATAAAAGTTAAGAAAACCAGAACGACTTAGATTAGACAGACTACTTCAGGCGATGCAAGGGTTCTTATCTTTACTGGTTCTTATTTTCATCGGTATTATTTTTAGCTATTACTATATTATATTAACTGCAGCCAGTATTTTTAAATGTGAAAGATAGCGCATCTTATACTCATATGGATTTTTATTAATAGGTTGCGTGCAAGATTTTTCCAATTCTATATTACTCGAAATGAGTTCAAATTCTTGTATAATCTGTTGCATTCACTTTGGAACAATTCTCTTGGCGTGTATTATCACGCCAGCTATAGGTCAAATAGAAGAGCAGCAACCAATCTTAGAGAAGGAATATTCCGAATTCAATTATTTTTTGAGAAGGTAACCTCACTATCTTTTCTATGAATGCATTGCAATTCAGAGATAGTAAAGAAAAAGAATTTGTGGCGAGCCATCATCGCCTTCATCCTGAAGGAACATAACGTTAAAAAATCATATTAAAAAAGAAGAAAACATTTTGAAGATAGTCCAATAGTCTATAAGTTGGATTTTTTTTCTCTAAATATAGATGACTATCGATGAGCGCAATTTTTCTTCATGAATTGTTTCAGAAATCAACAACTTTCTTTCAACCCTAGAATCATTTGAGATAGACTGAAAGGAAATATCAATTGATATCAAGCAGAATTAGATGAAATAATAACGATCTATTTACACTATTCAATTACCACACACACACAGATATATATATATATACATATATATATATATGTGTGTGTGCGTGTGTGTGTGTGTGTAAATTGATGCATATTTTATATTGATGTTTTTTGAATATTTTTTGATAAAATCAAAATAAGGTTTTGCCTATACTGCATAAAATATTTTAAAGGATCTGTTAATCGATTTTAGCAAGACTACTTCAATAATCTTTAATAAATTAATTATAAATAATGGTTATTTTCATATCCATATAAATATTGCGATACTTTATGACTTCATATTTTCTCAGTGCAGTCATAAATAAGGAAAACTACAAGTTATAATCACTGATTTTCCTATTGTCAATGAATGTAGGTGTCGGAGTGAGAATTTAAGCATTCCACCCGACATGTATTTCTAGAACGTCTTGAACTTAAAAGAGACACATGCGTCGTTTACGTGAATTTTATAACGGCAAATCGACAGCTTTCAAAATGTTTCTTCTAAGCACAACAATATTCATTTATCCGGATAAATGACGTCTTCATTTTAAGTGCATAACAATATTCAGTAAATGCTTATATGGTAAAATTAATTGTTGTTCCATATTAAAATCCAATTTATAAATTATTATTAATTTAAATCGATATTTTTGACTTGAAAAGAAAAGTTAATAAACAATGAATTTTTTTCTGCTTTCGTAGTTAAATTAGTAGATGAATACAAGAAGTGTGCTAAAAAGTTCTCGGGTTGACCCAAAAGTGATTTGATGTTTGGTCGGATTTAGAGGAAGTGGGTCGAACAGAGAACTTTTCACCACCCATATGTATTAATTATAAAAGGCAAATTTGGAAACGATTTGCATATGTTTATAGAGTGAGGGTAGCAAATTGTTGGTGTCTAATATTAACAACATTATTTTTTGTATGCGTGTGTATGTTCATATGTGTACATACGTACGTGTGAGTGAACGAAATATAAAAATTAGAAAGAGCGAGAGAGAGAGAGAGAGAGAGAGAGAGTAACAGGGAATAAACGAGAAAAGGTGAAAAAAGCAGATTATGTTAAGGAGAATATAGATGAGTGGATTTAAACCTTCGTTGGAGCCTAGCAGGATGCTGTACAATCAGCAAGATTATCTGGTGTTGTCTCGGTTCATTTTATAATGAACCGAGACAACACCAGATAATGCATTGACCGATGCTGTACATAATTCCTCTGTCTCTTATAAAGGTAGGGAGAAGATTGTGTAGCAATGTTGTAGAATTCCTGAAGAATAGCAATAAATTAGTTCGATTTTTCTAATTTTTTAGATTAGCTTAAAGAAAATACGAAATGGAAACAATGGAATGTATTTTGTCTAACAGTCAAAAATCGTTATTTAGACTAAATCAGTGGCTAATCCAATACAAGCAAATGTTTAAAACCGTTCATAAAAGCAAAAGTAGTTTAATTGTATATATAAAACAACGATTAAAATCATGAAACAAATCATAAATGAAAAAAATTATATGAACTCGATAGAGAGAGAGAGAGAGAGAGAGGTGTTGGGGAGAAACAGTGAAATTTGCGTGAGGTCGGGAGGTGGGTGGGTTTCCGAGATGGCAGCTATATGCTGATGCCTGGCCACACAGGTCGACCTACGTCGACCAGGTTTCATCTTTCGGGTTATTCATGATAAATTATGGAACATCCATTAGATTGACACAATAGTAGGAGTGGGGGTGGTAGTGGTGGTGGTGACAGCCGCGAAAAAGCGGGGAATGTAGGAAAGAAGGGAAGGATCGTCCAGTTCTAAGAACATGTACTTAGAGGAAGAGAAGCATCAAAATGTAATTAGAGAACAAAGGAAGGCGAGGGCATGAAGGTGTAATATCATTATTATCCCCACCGTCAGCAACAACAGCAACAACAACAGCAACAACAACAACAACAACAACAACAATAATAATAATAATAATAAATAACTTCTCGCAGTGTCATCAGATAAAAATATATTTATTATAGAATATGACTATATAAATAATAGAAAGATCTTGAAATTGAAAAAAAATGTTGCACCTTGAAACTACTGTTATGCCTATAATAATTGGAGCCCTGGATGCAATAACAAAAAAAAAAAAAACAACAAAAAACAAAAAACGATAAAGACAGAAACATTAACAAAATCCCTTGCAGTATCTGCTTATTTTTATTTTTTTACAATGATGTTCAGCCTGTATAAATTTCAAGTAGAGATTATTACAGAGTAAAAGGTGCCACCCCAAACAAGGTGATAAAGCCAACAATACGCAAGGAACCACCGGAAGTGAAAGAGAAGGGAAAAAACATTAGAAGGAACCAGAAACCCAATGTTAAATAAGTAACAAGGGATAAACCTCTACTCCTGTTCAAAAGACCGGGGAGGAGTGTGAACCGCACGATAGGCAAACCTATCTACTCTTATTGAGGAACAAAAAGTAAATAAAAGCTCAGAGCTTTAAGTAGTAAATTACGACTGTTGACTAATTGTGCTAATATTAGAATATGTATATATTAAATATTATTTTCATAATTTTATGATGCGTGTGTATAACTTATATACAGACAATATCGGAGAGTAAAGCATAAACAATGAATAGATAACGATTATATTTCCAACCAAAGTCGAATGCATCAAAATATCCGATTAAAATCGGATTGCCTGAAAGAGAACAGAGAAAAATAGAGAAAGGGAGGGCTAAACATTTTTCGGCACAACTAAGAAGTAACTCCACATTTTAAAAAAATATTTGTCCCTTTATTCAGATACATACATAAACACACACACATCACCGCTGTTCGAGTTTCAGCCAGAAGTAGGACTAGTTTGATATATATTTATTATTAGCTTGTTGGCCAATAATTATGTTTTAGTGTATATATATATATATATATATATATATATATATATATATATATATATGCTGTGTCCAGAATATAGCCTCCGTTAAATGATGATTGGGGTCAGATATGATTTCGGGCTTAAATCATCATTACCTAAGGCGCCCCAACAGTATGATACTGTTACACTTTGATAGTTTCCATCACAACATGGGAATTTTACATCCATTTAGATATTCTGAAGCCTATATTTTCTCTTTTAAATGACAAAATGGAAACTACTTCTAAGTAACGTGCTTCGTCCCTAGAAGGAACTTCTTCAGAATAATAATGATTTTATCGATAGAGTCAGTCTTATATATAAGATAGTGAGATGTGAGGAAGCAATACAACAAAATCCTGTTACAATGTTACATAAAAATGTTAGATACAGAGACATTTAGCTTTAAATTTAACACTCTTTCACGTCCAGTGTATTTAGATATACAACTTTATTTTATTCAACTTTCTATTGATTACGTTTTTTTAAAAAATTTGGTTCACTAGTGTTCATAAATATTGAAGTAAGTACATTTTTTTAGTAATTTTAGTATACTTTTCTAATAAACAACTTTTTCTTAGTACTCTAGTGCCGATATAAATGAAATTTCTTTAATTAATTGCCGATTAAATTAATTGATTTCTTTAAGCACAAACAGATTTCTCCAAATCTTCTTTACTAAAATAAAAGCCACAATCAATTTAGTCGAGTCCTGTTTTGTTCGGACAGCTTTTACTTTACATCGCCATTAAAATCGTTTGCTCGTTTTTGTCTTTGAACTTTTCGGTTTTTTTACATGATGACCAAAATTGAACAGATTTTTGCGTGTGTTTTGCCTCTCGTTGTACAACTTCCATTTTCTCGCAAAGACATTTCTTTTTCTCTTTTATTTCAATTTAATAAACCTTTCATCTTTAAAAAAAAAAAACCCAAAAAACAATATATTTTTGTTGATGCTTTTGATCATTTAAGTTTCGTGGTCACAATCATGAATCATTAGTCCATTTGTCTCTTTCTTGAATTCTATTAATAATCTTGTCTTTACCCACTGTTTGAAAGGGATCAACTGATATTTTTTAGTACTGTGTTATACCTGAAAGTACCTCTAATGTTGCTTGTGTATACCCATGTGTGTGTGTGTGTGTATGTGTGTGTGTGTATGTGTGTGTGTCTCTGTCTCTGTGTGTGTCTATGGGTGTGTATTCTATATATTATAATTGAATCTACCTAGATAAGAGCGTGATATCTGTGTAACTTGTCGACAGTGTTTTACACACACACTGCATTGCTTATATATATATATATATATATATATATATATATATATATATATATATATATATATATATGTGTGTGTATGTGTGTGTGTGTGTGTGTGTGTGTGTGTGTGTGTGTGTGTGTGGAAACACCTGCTTCTGCCACAGATAATTATTCAGAAAGATCCACAGATCCCAATAACTAGACTTTGTCGTGGAGGACGCAGGGTGAATGTGAATATCAGATTTGCTATAATAGTGCACCTTATATGCTGCATTATATAATATGTATGAAGTTGTTTATATTTTGTTATTATTTTTTCAAACTGATATATTTAAAACTTTTATGAGGGCTTGTTGAAGAATGCTCAGCCCACCAAAGAATTTCTGATATTTGGTCATATTGGTCAGATTATGTGAAATGGTTCGTACTTAAAATATTTGAGTTCCCTATCCCTAATATCGTAAAGAAGTTAGGGTTTTCATGCATTTTTTCTCTGATAAGACAGTGAATTTATCTCTTGAGTTTGTTTCATCACGAATATATTCAACTAAACATAAATCGTACAAGTAATTGAAAACGCGACAGACTCACAGATCTCAGTTTTATAGACTTTCTTACAGGAAATTAAATTGCATACATTTTAAGATTTAAGTTGCATAAAAATCTTACATTTTTCATTTTGCAATCTAACTCATGTTATAATAATAATAATAATAATAATAATGATGATGATGATGTCATGATGAGCTAGACGGAGTAAATATCTTGTTCAGTATCACAATTTTATTAGTCAGTTGAACATGGTTCTCAAGGGCTGCCGCTGCTGGGGAGGTGTGGTATTCGCGACCGGGTGTCGAAAGAGTTTTATTTTCTTTTTTAGTTTAAAAGATGAGACAGAGAAGGTATTTCCAACTGGACTGGGCTCCGTATATTTGTACACCTTTGTTGGCTTGCTACTTTCGCATTCATTTTATTATTATTATTATTATTATTAGTAGTAGTATTAGTATTAGTAGTAGTAGTAGTAGTAGTAGTAATATACATTATTTTAGTTCAGTTTTAATTTGACGCGTTTTGGACTAATCCGGTTTATTTTCTTAGCGATAGAATCCTTACATTTACCGAAGATTCTCTATTCAAAAACGGCATTTTAAATGCAGATCCTATATAGTCGATGTACGATACATTCTTAATCTTATTCATTCGACCTCTGTCTGTTATTCATTCTTATATAGACAAGTATGTTTAATAATCACTGTAGTATACACCAATGAAGTAGGAAAATATAGTAAACACGTCTCAGCTAGACTTTATCTCGTTCTCAGTTCGTGTTAGTCGCTTCTTCACGTATCTAGGAAGAAGAGAGTAAATGTTTATGCGTGTCTATCCTTATTCCGATGTTATTTCTACAGTCAGTCTCAGGGTCAGTTCAAGTCAGCTGGTTTCCTTAAGGTAGCAAATACACGCGCATTCTTTCAACAGCAAAAGCCCTTAGAAGAGAGATGGATAACTTTTTATGCGGGGGTTGGCGGTTAGAAATGGGTGATAACTTATATTTTAAGATGAGTCTACTGGCAAAAACGATTGGAAAAAATATAATATAACTGGCTCTGACAGAATCTCTAACCAATGATTTATCTAGATGTAAGAAGCATAGAACCACACTACACTAAGGAATGTGGAGGGTTTCAAAGTTATGATGACTTACAAAAAGAATGCTTTCTCGCAAATATTTAATTCTTATTTAACAATCTACGTTTAATCAAGATTTAATTACATTACAAAATGAGAAAACTTTTTTTTAATTTTAAATAATGTTAAAATTATTAGTTATCTTCTAACAAAAAATCAATCTTTAAAAAGTAAATTAACGCTGTTTATATTATACATTTAAATTGCATTCATTCAAGCAAGACTGTTATTAAAATTCGTTCTTGTTCAATAAGGAATTTTATGAGGAAAATTTTTTGTAATTAGTATTTCGAACTTCATCTAGCACAAAAAAACACTTCAAGAAAATTGAAGCATCATCATCTTGTCTGAAATGAATGGAATTTAAAATAATTACAAAGATAACATTTAAAATTTCGCAGACATGTTTGTTTCAAATCTATCTGTACATCGTGCAATGAAAGAATTTGGCCGAAAATATTTAGAAAAACGGAAAAAAAAACAATTGTATCCTTTAACTTATTCCACTTGTTTATTTTTTCGGTGATTGAATGCTTTTTATATAAACTTCAATTTTAAAGAAAGATAAATATCGGAAAAAACTACTGGTCTAAAAAAAAAAATGTTAAATATTTTAAAAGCTTTAATTTTTCGCCTATTATTTGTCCTTGGTTTGGAGAATAAAATATGCTATGAAAATTATAATTCACAGTAAACATTCTTGTTGACTTTCTTTTTTCTTACTTTTTTCTTACTTTCTTTCAAAAAGAAATGCCACAGCTATTATTTCTAGATACAGGCCATCTTAACACTTCCCTATGAAAATG